CACACACACACACACACTTTTTACATACAAATGTGCATCAGTGTTGCTCTGAGTCCTCACCTGGTAGTCTGTGCTGAAGTGCTGGTCTTCCTGCACCACCTCCAGTTCTTTGCCTCCCCTCACCAAAACTGTTCTGACTCCTCGGCCTGCCAGGTGGGTGTGCAGCTGGGATGCAAAAATATAGATCCCTCCTGGGGGCAAAGCCTGGAGACACAAGTAGACAAACAGAACATGAGACTTTCCAAGGAGAGTTTCTAAATTTTATGAAAAACGCACACGTTATTGACCAACACTTTTGTTTCAACTGAAAAATTAAGCAGATTTTTAACACCTACAGTCTTGGTACACTTAGATGTACAGTAGCCAGTGAGGTAGAATGTGTGTTGTTTTGGAGGGATCGCCATGACTGGAGTGTAAACGAGGCCCAGCTCCATGATTCCTGCATCGTAGCGCCGCAGGCTTGGGGTGTAATACAGCCGAATCCCTGATGAATCCCGTCGGCCTGCATGTGAAACACTCCTGCATCACTGCTCAACATATGGCAACATTACTCCTCACTCCAAAATCTCTAACACAGTAAATACAGAATAATCCTGCACTAACCATGCTAATGAAATTTTTTTTATTTTTTTTTTATGTGTGTTTTTCTCTACAGGAACTTATTTCTATGGTGCAATCCGAGGACAGAGGATAACAGAATTTATTTTTCCTAGTTACAATGATTATGTGATGATTTCTCTCCATCTGGTCCTGGCCAGTAGTGTGTTTGGACTTTTTTGTAATTTAGACAAGAAAATCTTAAAAGAGCTCGCCAAAGAAAAGCAAAAAAACATGAAAGTGTTGATAGTCTGAAAACAGTAGAGAACATTGAATAATATTATTTCAAGACAAAAAGTTCCTTTTTGTCTTGATGAGTTTAGTTGTGTGAACTATGTTTCAGCTTTTAGTTTCATTTTCGCTGCTTAGTTACCCATTTTTAAAATTTATCTTTTAAATAGCCTTTTTGGAACATTTAGCTTTTAGCCTGGCCTTTTCTTCTTTTAGCTTCTAGTTTACCTTTTGATACTTTTAGCTTAAATTTGACTGCTTTGGCTAACATTTTAGCTACATTTCACTTCCAAACTTTTGCTACTTATAGCTTCTAGTTAGCTTTTTTTATACTTAACATTAGCCTTTTTTAAACTATAAAGTTTTAGCTAAAGTTTTACTGCTTTTAGATGGTTGTTAGCTACTTTAGCCTTTAGCTAGTTTTAGTGCTACTGTTAGCTTCTAGCCAGGTCTTTGCTAATTTTGTTTCTAATTAATTTGCTTTCATACTTTTAGTTAGTCTTCTTGCTACAGTTAGCTTCAAATAGCTTTCTTTTCTACTTTCAGCTTGTATTGTTACTTTTAGTTAGCATTATGTTGTTTTTAACTTTCACATAGTGTATTGCTCCTTTTGGTTTTTAGCTTATGTTCTGCTCCTATTAGCTTGTAGTTAATGTTTTGCTACTTTTAGCTTGAGCAATTCTGTTTTAGCTTCTTCAACAAAATTCAGCAGTTATTTAGCATTCAGTGGGATTTTCTAGTTCATATTAGTTAAATTTTTATTTGCAAAATTAAGTCCAGCCACATGAAATCTGAATGTGAACCCTCTCTCTCTTGTCATCAGTTACATCAGCATTTCCCCATTAAATCTCAAAAAGTAGTTTGAAATCATTTAATGTAAATAAATAAATAAAAGTAAAATCCCTGACAATGTGACATCCTTAGGTGTTTTAATTTCAGAACAGAAAACAAGTACAAATCTCCAGAGATGTGCAAGTACTGTATAACGACATATTTGGGAAATTGATTTTTAGTTGATTGGAAGCAGCTGTGGCTTTAAAAGAGAGATAAATAAGTTTCTGCTGTTGGTGTTTTGAGGAGAGAAAATGTTTGATCTGGATGGTATTTGTTCACGCGTGAACCATTCATACCAGATATAAGGAGAGGGTTGTGATAATGGACTTCCAGACGAAGGAACCTTGAAGATCCAGGTCCCCCTATAGCCAGTCCAGCATCAGGGGGGTAGTAAAAAGCCTGCAAGTGCACACACATTCATGCAAACATGCAAAATTCATGAGGAAAAAGACACAGGATTCAGTTTAATATATGCACAATCGACAGTTTGCTGTCAGTTTTGGGGTAATATCAATTTTCTACAATTCACAGTGAAAGGAGACTTTCGTCTATAAATCAAACAACATGAGGTTTCAAAGAAAAAGAGGAAACACTTAAAAATGCAAATCCTTCTCAAACATGCAGATGTTCAATAACAGCAACCTTTCATATTCCCTTTTCAGTATTGTGTCAGAGCCATAGCTTTAATTCATATACATTTTAAAGCATTTCAGATGTGTATAATGCTTTTTTTTTTTTTTTGCCTTATGCCACACAACATAAAGCAACACTACAAGAAGGTGATGATCGGAGGCAAGAATAATTCCAACCTAAACAGCCTTCACAGCTCGCAGAAGGCATCCTGCTTGTTTTTGTTTAGCTGGCAGATAATCCAGTCGGAGAGAGGCCAGGCTTACTTGTGATACAGCAGGAAGCCGTGTGGAGAGATACGGTGACAGCTTCACCGCTCACTGGCCTCTTGCTTGTTTTGGCTCGCAGCCTCAGCCACCATTTTGTCACTCATTGGTCTATGAAGTACCTTTCTGAAGTTACAGCTTTTGGTGTTTCTATTTGATTTTAGAGCCAGAAAGATGGTAAAATAAAGAAGTTTTGCAAGAAACCATGTTAACATGTTAACTACAGCATTCACGTCACTCACAGAGCAGGCTACATATCTAGTGTAGCAGATCTTGAATTGTGAGCGAGTTTATTTTATTTTTTAAGGAATGCACATTGCTCAACTTCCATGCCAAAGTTTTAAAGGAAAATCTTTCATTATCTGTTAGCAATCAAAGTGATGGAGATGACTCTCTGTAGCTCAGTATCCGTTAAAACTGAACACGTTACAGTCATTTCTGTGGTTGCTAAGGTCGTTGTGGCAGCCATCTTAAATTGAAATGAGTGCAGAAACTCAGCTGCCGCTGATATAATTTTGTGGAATGATGTAAAGCTGCAGGAGAAAAACACATTTTCCTGCTTAAAATCTTATGATGGAGCAAATAAGAGTAATTTGGGAATATTTGAAAATGACTAACATATCAAAATATTGTCTGTCCAAAAGGCAAGAATAGAGATGGAAAACACGAGATCATGAAAACATTAAAACCTGCAGGTCAGTGAGTGATGTTGGAATGGGTGCGCTCGTTTTAAACCACAATCTTTTGGTTTTATTCACCATAGAGTTGCAGTTTTTGTCCACGTTCTTAACAAACTGGAGTCTAAATTGGATCGGTCTAGTTAACATTTAAATTAGTTTTCTGCAAGGTTTGCGCTACTTTAATTAGAAGACTTGAAACACTTGTTAAATTAAGGTAACAACATTGTAATTAGTGGAATTTGTTTCTGAGAGCAGAACTTCTAAATGTGTTTTATCCACTAAAGGTGTTGCAAAATATCAGCTGAAAATCCTAAAAAAAAAACCAATAGAAAAAGTAGATTAGGTGACCTTCAAGCAACCATTGTGCGTCTTGTATAGAACAACTTGTTCAGTATTTTCTCCGTGCAAATGTTTGCTTACATTTGTGAGTATACTTGTTTTTTTTTTATGTAAGCCTATTTATAAATATTTGTGTGCATCCCACGTACAGACTGTCTGTTAATAGACGTGCTGCGTGGTGGGATCATCTTTACAAATTTTAAAGCTTGCAGTTCCACGCTCGGTTTTACTTATGTGGGAGCTTTTGTTTATATCTCTTAATAAGTGCAAGGTCTGGAGCAAAATCAAGCTTCATGCCAGTGCTCTCTTTCAATTAGGTCCATGCTATTTTTATCAAAACACTTGACTCTTCCTGTTTGATCTGCTTCATCTTGTGATGTGGGGACTCTTTTTTTTTTCTGTTGCAAATGATTTGCATTTTGAGTAAAATGATTTGGCAACACTTCTCTGCTTGCTCTCGATGAGGACGGACGCATTGCCTCTTGCGCCTGCCCTCCCTCCTGCTTTGCTCTTTGTCCTGTGATTCATATTAGAGCCTCTCACTACACATCCTCCCAACTGTAAATTATGGATCTGGTCAGCTGGTCTCTCAACGCAATTGATAAAAATGTTCTCGCTGAGAAGACTGGGTACAGGAGAGCCCTCATGCCCTGAAGGGACACTTGCAGCCGAATATACTATGGATCATGGGGACAGTGGAAGCTGGTGTCTGTCTGTAGTGTCCATTGAGGATGTTGAAGACGCATACATAGTTGAATTTATTATAAGATTTCTGCTTTTTGGAGTCGGCGGTTACCTGGTTTATCGACAAATACGGAAAATATCGGCAGCTGTTCTGGGCTTGGTAAAGTTGCCTGGCTTGTATGAAGGAATGTACCGAGCGGTAGAGTTGTCATTTCTAACCCAGAGCCTGGCCCCGCCCGACCTGGATTCAGACCAGGCCGGGCCATAATAATGTGCTTAATATGTGGGCCGGGTCAGTGTCTGGCTTTTTATTGCGTCAGGAACATGTGCGGCTGACAATCCAATATATGCAAACATGGCTTGCCATACTGTACCTGCCACACATGGCCATTTGACCGTGCACTGACCAGCTGGTTGAAAGAGGTAAAAAGTTCAGTTAAGATTCAGATGGACTACTGCCAGCGATCCATCAGCCCAAATGGACGTTCATTCAGCTGCGGCACTCGGAGGACGCGCGCATCTGAGACCCAAACAGGTGAGATCACAAAATATCTGACATGTCAGAGCAGGGTCCAATGCAGGCAGAATCAGGGGAAGCATTTAATGCACTGACTGTTCTTCAACTCTGATCTTCTGCCCCCTCATCCGCACGCATCCGCCAACCGTTAATAACAGTCGGTGGTATAAACAGTCGAAGCTTAATTAAAAATGTTGGGGGGGGGGGTGTCTTGGTTCGGACCTGTAATTACTGTTAATTCGTTGGATTGGGTGAGGTTCAGAGATGACGGCTACGGGGTGGGAATTTCGGATTATTTGGACTCGAGTGCAACTCTACCGAGTGATAAGCTCTGATGCTGTATGAGCTGAGCAGTAAGCTGGACATGATTCCTGAGAATCGCTGACCACTTTGCGGCTCCTGGGACTCACTGGCGCAATCGACCTTGGTGAAGGCTACGAGCTTAGTCCGGCGGTTTGATCACAAAATTTGGCAGTTTGGAATTGCCACTGAGACGTACCAGCAGAACTATGAAGGCAGACATGGAAATCAAGCAGTCTGCCTGACCCAAAATAACTGTTATTTGAATTTGGCTTTCCCACCCGGTCTTGATTTGACCAACTATCTTGAACTTCTCCTGGTTGTTCATGTGAATGAGAAGCTCTTCCACCCCCTCCCCAACGCTCCCCTCCTGAGGACATCTGTGGATCTGTGTCAGAGTTGAGCCGGCTAATAGACACTGTGCCATCTTATTAGGACTATGGAATTTTCTGGCATTCCACGGACAACTCACTGCCCTCGTCGGCCTCCTCATGCATAAATGTATTATGATGTCATTATGTCTGCTGTTTATGTGTGAGTTCTTTTTCCCCCCCCCCCCAACTTTCACTGTGCCCAAGCCAAGACATGGTGCGAGATACATTTTTTTTTACCTCCCCTCCCCCTTATGTTTTCTCTTTTCCTTACTTTTGTCTGTGTAAAACAGGTTTCTCTTGTAAATGAGTCTCCGAGGCTCAATGTGATTAATCTATATAAATAAAGGTTGAATGAATTAACAAACATAAATCTGGGTTGCCATGAGATGGAAGGTTTTCATACCTCTGCACCCATAGCCCATGCAGCCAGCACGTGACGGCAGAAGTTGAGCTTCTTCGGCTTCATCTTGTCGTCACAGGAGCCACTGTACTCTGGCACGTCGCGCATCTCTGGTGAACATTCGAACACTTCGATGTGGTGCACGATGGCCTCGTTGCCTGCAGTTATCACAGACTCGTACTGACAGAAACAGAGAGAGAAAATGGTGGAAAACTCAAACGATTGAGAACCCCTGCTCTAGTCTACTTTCTAACCAGCAGATTGTCATCATTGATTCTTTTACCATGATGATGTGGTTCTTGGGGATATTTTCAGGCAGCTTGTGGATGAAGCACCAGTAGGTTGTTTCTTGGTTTGGTATGGTGATGTTTGGTGCCAAGACGTCTAAGGGCTGAACATCTGGAGGCAGAGTGGGTGATGGTGTGTCGGGGCGCAGCATCAATACTCTCTGCACCCCTGTGTGGATCCTGGACAGGTCCAGGTCTTCAAGAGAGGTGATTGGTTGATCCAGCAACCCGTAGATGATGTGCACGGTTCCTTCCTGATGGATCAGAAAAGAAAGAGGAATTTAATAACATTGTGCAAAAAGAAATGCTAGCAGAAGCATTTCAAAATAAAAACCTTTCAAAGTGAGAATTTTTGCACATATATATTTTTTTTTTAACAGCCAACAAAGATGATTGTTGGCGTTGTTGTAGTAACAGGTTTTAGTTGCTGCAACCCAGAGGTTATATTCAGTTTGATGGCCTCAGGAATCGATCTCTGCTATTTGCAGATGATGTGATCCTGTTGGTGGCATCATGCCGTGATCTCCAGCTGTCAATGGCGCAGCTTACAGCCGTGTGTGAAGCAGCTGAGATGAGGATCCGAGGTCATGGTCCTCAGTTGGCAATAGGTGGACTGTCCTCTTGGGGTTGGGCGTGAGGCTCTGCCTTAAGTGGAGAAGTTCAAGTACTTTGGGTTTTTGTCAATGAGATAGGGTGAGAAGTTCAGTTATCCAGGAGAGACTCAGAGGAAAACCGCTGCTCCTCCACATCACAAGAGGAGACCGTTGAGGTGGTTCGGGCACCTGGTAAGGATGTCCGCTGTAAAACACGCTGTCAATGATTTAGTATAAAAATATTGATCGTTTCTGGACAATTGTATTTGATTTATGACACAGAACTCAAACGCACCATGAAATAATAACTTTTCTCACCTCTATGAGGTAATCTTTGGGATCGCAGGTACTAAATGGTCTTTTGAAGAGCAGGTAAAACCCATCAGCTTTCTGTTTGGCCTCAATCAGCTCGTAGTCTTGTTGGCTGTCCAGCGAAACATGACCCTCGCTGTCACTCCACGCATCCTGAAGGAGACGGCACAAACGATAGCAATAGGAGACAGAAATTTACAGGGATTTCAAATATATTCCCTTCAATTCTGAATAAAGCTGATTATTTTTAAAAAAAATGTAGGCTTTGTAAAACCCCAGGTATTTTTTACTAAGTGCAGAGGGAGAAAAAAAGTCTCCATTGTCAGTTTTTAAACCCACACAACTCCAACTGCAGTGAGCTGTTTGACAGAGATTCATGATGCACGTTAGAGAGAGAATTAAGTAAAAACTGAGGCAGCTGGTGTTGTGAAACCTTCCAAACCTGGTGTACAAGATGTTCTTCTTCTCTGCCAGAAGGCTTTGTACCAGCTCGGCCTCGCCATCTCGGCTCTTTTTCACATCCCTACCTGTCCAGAATAACATCTAAAAGCTTTCTCTTTGTTTCCCATTTTAGTCTTGCATAACAGTACCACACAAACTGCACAGATTTGAAGCCATTGATTTTTCAACTACGTACAGTGTGTGCAAATCCAATAAAACATGTGGTCAATATTCTGTCCAATGTGTGTTAAGAAAAAAGCAGTCTTTGACTTGTAAGGCCTGCTGAGGGATAAAAACCTAACTCTTTTGAAAAATATCCACCTTAGCTCTATTGTTATGTAATACTTGAGCTTATAATATATTTGAGCTAGTAATACAAAAGTAGTTTCAAAAGATTTAACATGAATTTGAACTCTGTCCTTCAAATATAGAGGCCTAAAACAAGTTAATAGTTTTGAGTTGATGACTTCACAAAAGAGACGATATATGCTCATATAATTATGATTAATATTATTTTTGTCCATCTAAACTCAAATAAGTGAAATTATTTTGTGGTCAGAAATCAGAATCAGAATAAGCTTTATTATCAATTTATAGGGATACAATGAAATTATGTTCGTACAGTCATCCGAAAGATGGGCAGAGTTCACGTTGCTGCTGCTATAATAGTGCGGCCCCTTATTCTTTGTCAGAACACTTTTAGATAGAAAAAGGGGAAGAACTTTCAGGATATATAGTGGTATTACAAAAAAAGATCTCTTCACATTTTGTCCTATCAGGACTAGGGATGGGGCCGATCCGATCCAGTATCTGTATCGGCCTCCGATACCAGCATAATTTACGTATCGGATTTTCCGATCCACCTGCCGATATTTCCGATCCATGCATGTCTGTGGTTGCGCTGCAAGTTGGCTTCAAACTATGGAATGGATTTCCTGAATGGAGGCGTGTCTCGTGAACCCAGAGTAATAAGACCCGCCTCACATTCAGGAAATCCAGTTCATAGTTTGCAGCCAGCTACAACGTGAGTGCTGAGTTAGCAGCACTGTGGCTAACAGCTAACCAACTTTTCATCTAAACATGTCCGCTGTGTGGAAGTATTTTACACTAAAAACACCACAGAACAAGACAGCAACGTGCAATGTCTGCAGAGTCACAGCGCCACATTAAACCGCGGTAAAATTAGTTTTACGATGGACATTCGAGCTCCGTGGCTTCAGCGGGGCCCTGCTCTTTGCTCAACCCAAAACAAGCGACTCGACCCCGGTCAGCCGCGTCCAATCTGCCCCGCTCAGTCTGCCTGTCTCCGAGGAGGGACAAACTGAGCGCGGCTGCCCCAAATCAGGCTGCCTGCTTCGGATTGGACAAGAAGAAGACATCGCTGAAGCCACGAAGCTCAAATGTTTACAGAGAAGTTGCTAAACTTCATAATTAATGACCAACCACTATCAGTTGTAGGAAACGAAGGATTTCACAGCTTGATACTTGCAGCCAAGATATAGTTTACCCTCCAGGAGATATTTATCAGTACAACAGTAGACAATCATAAAAAAACATATGATTTGAAAATTATATTATAAACAAAAACAGCTACATTATAAAGTGATGTAAAATACTAAAAACAGGAACATGTCTGTTGGTTTATGCCATGAACTTAGCAGGTGTTTGAAGCCATTTAACATTTTATTTAATTCATTTATTCATTCATTTAAAAGAAACAAAATAAAAATAAAAAATCATCAAAAAGAAAACATTGAATGAAAAGAGTGCAGAAAGAAGAAAAAAAATTCTTCTATCTATCTGCCCCTTATTTAAAAAAAATATAAAATAACTTTAAACAATCACTTAATCACTTTAAAATCCACTTTAAAGCTAGGAATAAAAATAAACATGTTTGTGTTAGCAGAATTTAATTCTAACTTTAAAACTTATCCAACATTAATAAAACTTACCTCAAGTTGCCTTTTTGGACATGCATGCATATATTTGTACAAATTGTACTTGAGAGCAGATTATTACGGCCTCATATAAAATCAATGATGAGCATGATATCAGAACTGGATCGGTATCGGCTGATACTCAGACTTGGGTATTGGGATCGGATCGGAAGTAAAAAAAGTGGATTGGTGCATCCCTAATCAGGACACAATTTGAGGCATCAAAAACTCTACCTGCAAGTGCATTTATAAACATGATTACATATGCATTTGATGTCAAGACATTGAGATTTGTCCATGAACACTTTCAGACTGGCCACAGTCCTAAAGTGTTGCTCAGCCAGCAGTTCTGATAAGCCTGCACAGAAGTTCTCAGAGGGGGGGTTGCAATAGACGAAGCTTTGTCCCATGTCCTAGGAGAAATTTGATAGTCTGCTCGTATCCGAGGCCAAACAGGGGAGTCAGATTCAGATAAGCCACGATTGTTGATTTTCTTCAGGCAGACCGTTTTTACTTTGTCAGCCTAGAGTCCTGCTGGAAACTTTCCCGGTCCAAAATTGCCAGATTTATGGGTAATCCAATGTACTGATTCGTGGTATGAGCCTTCCTCAAGGTTGATCCCAACATGCTGGCGAGTCCTAGAAGTCGCAGGTGACCTGTGATTTTCACAAATTGCCTCCATCTTAAGGTTTAGCTCATAAATCAGCTGATTTTGAGTCCTCATACCACAAACCAAACCATCACACAGACTCAGAAGCTTTGTCATAGTCAAAACTGCTGCCGATGTTTTCTTCAAAAGTTGATTAAAAACAGCCCCGCCGATGCCAAAGAGCAGAAACCCTGCTATCATAAATCCAAATATATAAATGTCTTCAGCGTCCTCCTGAGACAGAATTGAGAGACACATCAGCTGCCAAACTCCCCACAGATCTTTCATGTACCCCGCAGCGTGATTCTCAGCCAGACAAGAGGGTTCTCCAGGACACTGTCATTTTGTTGAAAAGATTTTGTCGATTGCGTTGAAAGTCCAGCTCACCAGATCCATAATAATATTTTTTATTCAGAGGTGTGTACCAGGAGCTCCAGACACACAGAGAGCAAAAGCAGAAGAGGAGAACTGGGGAGGGAGAGTTCATCTTGAGCGAGAGCCAGAGCAGAAATCTGGTATTATTTTGCTGAAGAGGTGCTGTAGGGAAACGTAACGCTGATTTTAGGTTTTAATAGAAATCAAACTGTGATCTCTTGTCTATTTTTGACAATTGCAGTAATTTTTTGCTCTTTAGCTGCTGAGTTATCTAATAAGTTCACAAGATTTTCACGGACCATCTTTATATGTTGGGGCTGAGTGGACTTTTATAAGAAAACCCATTGTTTGCATCTAAAAAAAAAACAAACATTTTTAGCATTTAAAACCATCAAAATTACTGATCAAGAAACTATGAAATTAGCAAAAATTCATAGTAAAGTTGTTTTGCAAAAGCTCATTTTAAAATTGTCATTTGATGCACGTTGACTGTTTTATGTTTCATCATTTGTCTTTCAAAAATGGAAAATTTGTCTAACGCTAACAAACGAACAGCAGTTAAAGTCTCATGGCCTTTAATACAAAATGTCTATTCAACTGGGGCATATAAGAAGTGTGTGTGTGGAGGGGTAGGGGGTGTTTGTGTGTGTTTGTGTCTGACTGCAGCACAGCAGTGACCTTTTATCTGCTGGTAAATTTGTCCTCTTGAGGAAAGAAAAATGGACGACAGACAGAAGAACGCCAGACTGGAAGCGATCAATTTACCAGGAAAAGATTTCACATCAGTTTGTCGTACATGATGTGGCTCGTTTTTAACCTGAGATGGAGCTGTGGACTAATTTTCAGGAAAATGCTTCTTTTTTTTAATTGTTTGGAAAACAAACATTATATTAAAGCACAAGTCATTCTGAGGGTCACAGCTTACATTAGTAACAGAATTCTGAACTGTTGCGATGCTAAAATTCATTAAACTTGTTTGTCAGAATATGTAATTTTGTTTATAACTGGACAGTTGATGTGGCAGCCATCTTGTATTGAGTTAAGGTTTATTAAAATCAGTGCACCCCAATGGATAGATTTGAATAAACTCTCATAATCCTTCACCGCACATCTAAAACTCATTATTTGGTGTCAACCCAATTCAAGATGGCTGCCACATCAATCAACCGGATGACTCAACTCTTAATGATAATGAACTGTGGTAGTAGTTAGCAGTGATGCCCGACACATACTTTGAGCACTAATCAGCTGTGTTTAAAACTTTGGTAATGATGGGCATGCATTCAAGGAACGATGGTCTCTATTTAAAAAAAAAAAAAAAGGTTTTCATCTTTCAGGATTTAAAACTGAGGATCAAATTAGGTACATGGTTTTTTATCTAAGAATATTTAATTATTCGGAAATTGGGATTAAAACCTGCAAGTTTCTGATTAAGTAAAGCCATTCTAACTCAAAAATTGCAGCCGCCTGATAAAATTAACTCCAGCGTTTCTAGTTATTTGACTAAAAGTTGGTACATAAAGGAAGTAAGAGCCAAAAAAAAAAAAAAAAAAAAGATTTCATGATCGTCTTTTTATGGTGGTGGGCAATAATTAAAATAATCTCTGTATGGATGGGGTCCATTTTTATACTCTGCAACTGAAACAGTATAAGTAGAAAATGTTTTTCTAAAACTCCAAATAAAAGACATTCAATTATTTCTTCTGTAGGTTTTTCTCAAATATATCTAACTGGAATATAGAAATCGTGGATAGAAAACACAACTGTTGCAAAAAAAAAAAAAACTTTTTTGAGATAATTTCAGAGAGAAACCTTTTTAACGTCAGATTTCTTTTAAAGTCTTGTGTGTGGCAAACGGAAAATGATGCAATTTACTCAACTCAATTAGCGCAGGCTTTGCTTTGATATGCAAATATCTGCTAATGATTCCCAGTAGAGCCTCAGCTATTAGCGCAGTTTGACTGATTTCCAATTAGCAATCCCGATAAGCATCTTTCCTGACTCTGTGATCATGGAGCAAAAACCGTCCCTAGGCTGCTTGTGCCAAAATCCAACACTTCAACGATCACAGACAGACAAAATGTTGGGGACGCCCCACTCCTTTAAACGTTTAAAAAACTCCTTGAGCTTATATGATTTAGAAAAGCAGAATAAACAGTTTTACAGCTGCTGTTTAGAAAATTAGACGATATTCTCTCTTTCTTTTGGTCTTGAATGTTTTAGGACCTTAAGCTTGCCTACCCCAAAGTAGCTCTTTGTTCCCGAGTCCCACAGCACGACCAGGTCAGCGTTGGTCAGCTCCCCGCGGTCCGACATCCCCAGTACAACGCCATGCCTGAGCTCCGCAATCTTCAGCTGAATGTAAACCTCCTGATGGGCATAGCTGACGTTCCAGGCCAGCTGGAGCTCCCCGCGAGGGTCAAGGGGCATTCGGAAAGGCATAGGGAGAGGCGGCAGAGGGATGGAGGGACTGGATTTAAGGCTGGACACATCAACAGCATGGGAGGGCGCCTGGTACGAAGCCACCAAGATGACCGTCAGAGCAGCCAGGGCAGTGAAATACATGATGGTGATGTCCTGAAGGCGGAGGTCTTTCTTGAAGATCCTCATGGTGAAAGTTAGCAAAGATGCTGGAGTTGTTTTATTCTTTTTATCACGGCTTTGGTTCACCTTTAGGCCACCGTCGACTCCATTGTAGCGCTCAAGTGAAGGACTGTATTTCTATCCTGTCAGGCTCTCATTTTTTGGAAAAGTATGACCGTCCCGTTGGCATCATCACTACTTTATCTTGTGTAGAGTACTAATGGGTGTCGCCTCTTTCCTCTGTACAGCTGCTAAGTCTCTCCGACTCTCATCCACCTCTCCGGTTTTTAAAAGACTCCTCCCTTGTGAGTTGCCGGTTTTTATCCTGCCTAATGGTATTAAATTTGTTGTGGGAAAATTGGATTGTATTCTTTGAGCCCTGGGGGTCAGCAATGATTCAGCACATCTGCCAGATCCTAATTGATCCAAAACCAAGCCATGGACATTATCAACGACAATCTGCTATTTAACTTTATTACGGTGTCTTCTCCCTTTTGTTTGGGCAAATATGGTTTTTGTTTACATTTAAAATGCATGTTACACCTGTGTTGGGATTGTTTTTATTATTTAATAAAGATTTATGAGGCAGTGAGCATCAGGGAAGGTGTAAACAAGGCATTAAGGCTCTCCTTAAGCCAAGGCCTCAGGCAGCAGAAGACCTAATCAAACTGTCAATTACAAGTTTCAGAAGTCAAAGTGACCTGCTTTAAAAGGTTAGTAAAGTCCCGCTGGAAAAGTCTGTTTCTGTTTGATGAAAAACAAGTGAGCTGCTCTAAACAAATGGATCCGAGTGAATCACAAAATGTTCTTTGCTCCGTCTACACCACAATCAGGACCAGAAATCAAATTAAAATCATGTGAATTACAGTTTGTTGTAGTTCTATACACTGTGTGTACCAAGCTCTGAGGTTTTTGTTGAATCCAGGGTGCAGACAGACCCAGAGGAACTTGAGGGGTGAAAATAAAGCAAACTTTTTTTTTTTTTATTAATAAAAACTCTAAACAAAAGCTGACGAGGCAGCAAAACTTACAAAACCAATATTGTGTGACGACACGAAGGAAACAGCATGATGGCAGGAAAACACAATCCACGGACAAGGGAAAAAACAGAATGAGATTATTTAAAGACTAAGCTAACGAGCGGGAATGACAAACACCTGGGGAGGATAATCAGGAGCGGGTGAGAGTGGGAGGAGCGGGAGCTGGCAACAAGAGGAGAGAAACACTGGGGAAGCTGGAAACAGGAAAAACAGACCCGGAAAAATAAATAATAATAATCACAAGTAGACATAAACATCACAAAACACAGATTATGACAGTTTGTGCAGAAGATATTTATAAAATAAAGAGAGCAATATCTGAACAAATGAATCAAGCAATTATTAGTAATAATTATTATTTATTAATAATTCTTTCATTCATTCAACCTTTATTTAGACAGATAAATCACATTGAGCCTGAATAATAATAATTAATAATATATTACACAATAAAAGCGGACTTACCATAGTGTATCTACGTGCCGACAGATTTTGAATATCTTCAATCATTACCAGTTGTTCTCAAAAACTTCGGAAAATTATAAATTTCTGCAGGTTGCTGCTTTTACAGAAATAAAAACAGATTTTGGTTAGACTGAAACATATATATAAAAAATTTAAAAAAAAATAAAGAAATCAAGAAGCTAATAAAAGTAAAAAAAAATCTTTCACGACTTTTGAGTTTTTTTTGTTTTTTTAAGTTCTGTGGATTTTTCTAGAGTCACAGTTTTAGTGTTTAAAATAGAACTTGATGGTTATTTGCAAACAGCAGCAGCTAGCTGTAGCGCTTCCTGTGCAGCTTGGCGCACTTCCTACAAAAATATTGTAACTAGTGTGAGAATAATGTAGGAAATCTAACAGAAATGTAAAGGTGTAAAAAATTCAGGTCTCTCTTGGAAATGAGTCCCCGAGGCTCAATGGGACTAACTTTTATAAATAAAGGTTGAATGAATGAGAAAAAAAGGTGTAAAAAAAATGAATCACCATGAAATTTATGAAGTCGTTTAAATTAGGTAGTAAATTACTTGAGTTTTGGATAATCCATTACTTTATCTGTCCAAAAATTATCTCTATTTATCCAAACTGAGACCGTTCAAAAAGCTATCTGCAACAGGTAAGATACTAATAGATCATAATTTTCTACAGACTCCCATTTAAAAAAATCCAAACTAACACTTTAATGGAGGATTTGAGTGATGGGTTTGATCAGAGATCATGTCTGACAAGGTTGAGTCAGGTTCTTCATTGTTGAAATGTTTCATCTGTTGCACAAAAGACATTCAGAAGTGAAGTCTTGTGGACTTTGAAAAAGTCTTTTGGATAAAACATGAATCATTTCAACAAAGAATCCGTCCAAAGGACCTAACTCAACCTCGTCAGATTTACCTGGATTATTGAGCATGCATCTGAACATTTGTCTCGTTCTTTAAGGTTCATCCCCTCAATAAGTCTCCTGTAAAGATGCTATCCAGAAATGCATTGAATTCTGTTATAAAATAATTAACTTCTTACCACTTTTCCCAGTGGGATAATACAATTTCTGATTTTCAGTTGAATAATGCTTATTTTGCTGCTTAAATGTTGGTCATGTAGGTTATTTAACTTTGATTATCCAGTCTTTTCTCATCTTTTCTGTTAAAATAATTCAATATATGTCATGTTTTCACTAAAAAAACTGAAAGAAGCTGTGCATCAGAATTGTGGCAGTGTGACTGCCAACTCTGTATGTAATGGATGTAAGTATTTACAAGATCTCAAACCACTGAGGTTTTTCTTCCCGGAGAGGATCATACAGAGAGGGAGAGAAAGCTTTGGATCACAGCAGACAACAGGCCGGAGAACAGAAAGGCTGGCATTGTGTCGGTTAATGTAATAAAGACTCCCAGTCCCTGAGGCACAGACAGAGATCTGTGTGTTCTGTCTCCAGCTCTCACGTGAGCCTCACCGATTATCTCCCTACGTGCCTTTCAACGAGTGTTTGCCGCTTATCTTTTCCACACAACCACAGTTTTGCCTCGGTTTGTTTTTGTCCCATCGCACGTCTCTCCACCGAGGCTTCCTGCCTTCTCATCATCCCCTACGTGCACGCTTGTCTTTTCTGCCGTCACTACTGATGTGTCAGCACACACAAGAGCCGAGATGCTGTAAAGTCAGCTGTGATTTGGAGAGCGAGATGGTGGGGGATGGGTAGGGGATGGAGGACAGACAGGTTTAGGGGAAATAAAGCTCAGTGCAGGAACTCTTTACAATTTAAAAAAAATAAAAAAATGTATTTTCCAGTTTTATCATTTAAGACTTTTGTGTTTTTTTTGGGGGGGGGGGGGGGGGGTTCTTTGAAGGTAGAGTGGACCAACCTCTCCAATTGTGTTGACCCTGTGTGGTACAGAAAGAGAAAGGGAGCATAAAAGCATATTTAAAAAAAAAGCATTAAAGCAGTATTCACTTTTCATGACCAACCCAACCTTCTCATTCTCTGCTAATATAAATATTTCAACACCGCAGACTCTCAAAGTGCACTAATATCCACTTCTGTGAGTTTAAATAATGGATGCAATAAAAAAAAAAAAACTCACACAGCTAGCTGCCCTTAGCGTTGCCTCAAACTGCCCCTCGTCTGATCAGAGCGCGAGAGTCGAGCAGATGTAGGCTGGGTTGGATAATTAGAGGAGAAGACGAGTAAAGATTTACAAGAGAGAGAGGTGGAGAAGAAGGGGTGAAACAATTTGTACTGAGAAGATGAAAGAGCAAGTGAGGAAATGGTCGTTGACGTCCACTCCTTATACTTTGTCCTGCTGAATGTCTGGACGTGTCTCTGGGACAGTTGTGTCCATCATCTTAATGGAGCTCGATGAAGGTCTTGTTCTAGACAAAAAGGGTCAAATTGTTCTAATTATTTGGCTAAACCTTGGACAGATGACAAGTTTAATGTTTTTTTTTTGTTTTGTTTTGTTTTGTAAATTATGAGCATGGGTTTGACTTTCCAAAGCGTACATCTTTGATGATTGATCCTTGTTAGATTGAAGCTTAAAGCAAAAGTTCAAACATTTCAAAGTGGAATTCAATGGGAATATTAACCCTAAGAAAATCTCATGGGGAAAAATAATCCAGTTTAATTTTTATCACTTTTATTTATTTAAATCGATTTGGTGACGTTAATAAACATCATTGTTCCTGATAAAACCTAAAAATCCTTCTGATTTCTTTTTATTCTGTCTGGATTATAGCAGCACGGTGGTGCAGTTGGGATAGCAGATGCCTCAGTGAAGGTCGCAAGATCGAATCCCAGCCAGGTTCCATTCTGAGTGGAGTTTGCATGTTCTCTCCATGCAATTGTGGGTTTTCTCTGGATTTTCTCCCACTGACCAAAAACATGCATGTTAGGCTGATTGGTAACTAAATTGTCCCTGATGTGAGTGAGAGAGTGAATGGTTGTCTCTGTGTCCCTGTGATGGACTTGAGACCTGCCCAGGATGTCCCCCGCCTTTTGCACAGTGGCTGCTGAATATGGGCACCAGTGACCCCATGACCCAGAAAGGAATAAGCGGGTAAAGATAATGGATGGATGGAAAATAATTTTCTGATCCTGTAATCATCATATAAAATAATGTTATTTGTATTTTTTTTTCCTATATTTCTACACTTTACTTGGTGATGCTTTGCTTTTTATGCTTGGGAGCCTCTGTAAAAATTTACCAGGACGGACTTCAACATCTTTCCCAGCTGGACATTGCTGTCAAGTCCTGCCTCTCATCCCTTCAGATAAAAATGTTTTAGGGTGGATGATAAGACCAAAAACACACGTGCATGTTGCATAAGTAAACATTTGGTACAAAATAATAATAATAATAATTGAAACAGCAACAGCTGACTCCTATTGACTTGACTGAAACCAGGACGTCTGTATCGGATGCATCATGCTCCAGCAGCTGGTGGTATATCCAGATCAGTGAAAACAAAAAATTAAGCAGAAACTAATGTTTTGCACAG